CCCCAAAACCCCAAAACCCCAAAACCCCAAAACCCCAAAACCCCTTGAGTATCAATTTTTTAAAAAAAAGAGAGCAATTGTTTAAGAAATAAAATAACAATTAGGAATTAAACAAAACAAAACTACGACAAACTAGCTTAAGAAAATACTTACAGAGCATAGCCTCGTAAAATCAATTATATTAATCTGCAACGAAATTTAAGTTTCAACTATTATTTGGTGTGAGGGAGATTTGCTTCTTAGGTTCAAATCCTCTTAAATCAGATTAAATGCTAAAATCATTGTTGAAGAGGGGATCTCTTTTTAAATGAAGAGAGCTTCCCTTATTGAGCAGATTGATTGTATTGTATTAAAGTTTTTCATCGTCATTAAGCGATCCTTATGAAACTTTCTAGACTTGCATCTGTAAAGCTGCTTGCAATAAGCATTTTGCTTCTTGCTAGTCTAATGAGTAATGGCTTGCCGTGTTAGCTGAATACACCGTAGAATTTTCAAACTTATCAGATTCATTATATTCTTCATGATCGGAACGCCCATCCTCTTCCGTACATTCTTCTACAACTACTTGCAGTCTATTTCTGTTTATAGTGAACTTAGCTTGCTACAATTATTGAATTAATCTTATAGTTGCTGTTTTCCCCTTATAACGTCTTTTGCCTAAAGTTTATCTTTACAATGCAGCAAGGATCTAGTTATCATTGTCTATTTTGATTTAGCCCTGGTCATCAATTTCCATAATCTCCAGTATCCTCTTCTTTTAAGTTCTCATTACAGTTGATCCCTTTGACTGCCCTTTTTTGTGTTTTATTTTCATTAAAGCGTTTTGAATTGTTTAGTTATTTTCTGGATTTATTAAAGATTTTGAATTAAGGATTTTTTATTTTTCTAGCTCAGATTGGGAATTCTGAGATTTGTACTTTTGATTATTCTAGATCTTATATTAATGGAAACTTTAGGACATATATAAAAGTTTTAAAGCAGCTTCTTCTTCATCTTGCTCAACACTGTTACTTCTCTGTTTTTATTAGACCTCTTCTAAATTATTATTTTGAATTTTGACAGTGCTTTTAGCTTTGTCTGAAATGCAGCCCATTTTAATATAATAATTGGATATTAATTATTAAAAACTCTAAACTCTCAAACAAGGAAATTTCTTATCTATTTCTAATTAGTAATTCCAATGAACTCTTGTCTATGTGCCTTTATGGGGTTTTGGGGTTTTGGGGTTTTGGGG